TTGATATGCTAATTTCATTTCCTTTGGATACACACCCAGAAATAGAATAGCTGGACCATCCACAGAGTGATAGCAAATGTCACTCTAGAAAATGGAAGAAAATGTTTGCAAACTACTCAAAAAGGATTAACTAGACATAGGGTTAATTAATATATTAGCACTCAAAAAAAATCAATAATAAAAAGAATCCAGTGGAAAAAAAATGGGCACATGATATGAGTAGACTCTTCTCAAAAGAAGAAATTCCAATGGCCAGAGAAATTATTTTAAAATGCTCAGCTTCCTTAGCCATTGGGGAAGTGCCAATCAAAACCACAATGAGATATCATCTGAGCCCAGTTCGACTGGCTAGCATCGAAATCACAAAAAATAACTCAAGCTGGGGAATGATTTCAGTTAGTGGGTGGGGTCTGTACCGTCCTGTGGTCACACAGAAAGGGCAACTGTAGTTGGCATCCCCTGCTGACTTCCTCCACACCCAACATGAGGCTCCATTTGATCCACTAGGTCTGCTCCAGAGTGCCCTAGCCCACCCTGTAGAGCTGCAGGGGGCAGAGAATGAAGGCTGCAAAGGAAACTCCTAGTTTCCCTGCTCCACCCCACACACAGCGCAAGACGCCACGGGGCTTTCTGGACCCATTACCTGGACACCGTAGCAGGACACGTAATCTCTGCTGCCATGTTGGGTGTTCTTACATGAGGGGAATAAAACACAGTAAGCAAGAGGGAGAGAGGCAGCTCCAGCCTGCCCCCAGCATCCAGACCACATCTACATTCTCTCCAAATCTCCTCTTCACACCAGTGGGAAGACTCTTACCCCGCTTCCTGTTATGGAGAAATTGTATATCATTTCATGTTTAGGTATAATTACACACAGGGTAATAACGTACAATTCGGTCTGTTTTAGCAAATGCATGCGCCTGTGTCATCTACACTCTACGAGATGCAGACTATCCCATCACCCCTGCCAGTTTTAGCCTCTTCTTACTCAAGCCACCCGCTGGCAAGCACTGTTCTGATTTCTACCATCACAGATAATTTCCATGTGTTCTAGAATGTACATAAATGAAATCACACAGCGGGTTCTCTTTGGAGTCTGGCTTTGTTCCCCGAGAAGCCTGTCTCGCAACTCAATAGAGCTGTTTGTGTGAGTAGTCTCTTGCTTTGTATTGCACTGTATGAATATTTTGGTTTGTTTATATATTTGCCTAAGGTCTGTATTTTCTTT